TATCCACACGAGCCACAAACATGTATAACGTACCAAAATTACATTAGTTCACTTTATACATCAAAATATTGCACTTTATAAAATATCACGTTGCGTTTTATAAGACGACACATTGCACTTTACAAACGCACTCTGCCATAATGTCAACATCTCTCGCGCAAAAATATTACGTAATATAAATCTAAAAATCGAATCTACATAATTGCACTTCATATATCAATGTTTGCACTTTATACATAAATACACTGCACTTTATAATATGACATGTTACACCTTATAAAGCAACACGCTACGCGTACTAAAAAATCGGGTAATTTTGATAATCGATTAAATAATATTAGTTGGTTAAATGTTGAATTTAGTATTTTTTAAATAAATAAAATAATTAAACATGCCGAACTATATGAAAATAATATTACCAATTCTTTTTCAATTATATTTTTTAATAAGAATACAATAATATTTTTTATATGCATTTTTTTTTAGTATTGCGAGTGCACATCATGGTTATACTCATTGCACATAAATGTTTACTATATTGCACAAAATCGAACGAGATCTAAGGAATATAAGTTCGGTACGAAATTTTATATATTGTTTCGATTATTATTGATATATTTTTTATAAATCAATTATTTTGGTATGGTATCATTTTTTTATTTAAATAACTAAAATAAAAACTAAATTATAATAAAAATGTTATATATTATATTTTTGTATAAAAATATTAAACCATGAGTTTCTATTGAAATATAAAAAATTAATATAATGCATTTTATGTATTATTGTGTATGTAGTAAATATTTATTATATTATAAGTTTGCCTAATTTCTCAATTGAAAATATAACATTTCAGAAATTACAAGTAGGCCCTAATAATACATCAAATTCTCACAAAGCAACCCCAAATCTCAAATAAGCAACCCCAAATTTCAGAAATTACAGATGCTACATCCGGCCAAAATCGCGATTGTTCATCCGACCAAATCGCGAGTGTTCATCCGGCCAAAATAGTAGTGGTGATCTAGCTAAAGAGGACGTGCGCCGACGGAGGGTGAAATATGTGACGGAGGCGGGTATTTGGGCGACGGACAACCGGAGGAGATGGTGGATGGGGCAGAGCTGATGGTTTTTACGGATGTGGTCCCGGCGGGTTTAATGACGGCGGAGGAAGAAATTTGTGACGGAG